TGTGTGTTGGTTTGTGAGCGCACCTTTGCGAGCTGCAGATGCATAGTGCCCAACTCGTGCATAATTTATGACTGTCTTTTGCTCACGGGCCTGTGTGTGTGTGTTCTCCTGCTCGCTGCTTGTTCCTCATTTCTTCGCACCTCCATCCATCGCCGCACACACAGGACTTTTCTCCCCAGGGAAGCCTATATTTGGCTGCCGATAGTGTAGAAGTTGTAGGCAAACTACTGGGGTGTTCGATTTCAATCGTAACCCTTTGTTATGCATTCCTCTCCTCCTCCTCCTCGGCCGCTGCTAAGTTGACCTTCCTGAATCCAAAATGCACCGCGCGTCCCCGTCCCGTGCGCGCTCTCCGCTGCGTCGCGCCACGCCACGCCACCCGTACGCGGTGCTCTGATTATCGTGCGCCTTTCACGGCGCCGTGTTGCTGCGAGCAACTCTGTCGAACACCCGTCGTTCAACGTACGGAATAGCGCCCAATTTTTTCTCTCTTTACTTCCAGGGGGCAACGCGCGCGCGCGTGCGCCGCGAGCAGCACAACTCGCCGCTGGGCTCTTCTACTTCTAGGAAATTATAATTGTAGATGGGGTGAGGAAGGGGAAGTAAGGGGGTATGTCATGTAGAGACACCACAAGTACACAAACGGACTGACCATTCTGCGCACAGAAAAGCAAAGACAACAACCGCAACAAAAAAACTGGACGCTCCGCTAAATTTCCGCGTAGTGCTTGTACTAGTCGGCGCGCTCCTCCCACGCGGGACACGTGCGGCGCGGCGGCCGGCTGCGTTTTATTATTACGTAACGCTCGTCATGGAGCGTCATGAAGCGTCATGAAGCTTCCTCCGCGATGATGATGAATGCGAATGTCGATCCGCGCCGTGAATTGGCCGTGGACATGAGCGTGGCTTGGCGCGGCGTGGCGTGGCGTCCGACTGTCCGCACCATAACCTTATGGCCGCACGTATTTACATGCGGATTACCTTCCTCGATGGGCCTCGGCTCTGCGATAGGGAGGCGGGCGCTGGCGCTGCTCGGTGCTCGGCCACTTGTTTGTGCTGCTCGGGCGGGCGGGGCGAGTTAACTTACATGTTATATGGCCAGCCGCGGCCCGCACGTATGACAAGATTGTCAAAATAATCCGGAGCAATTCCCTCCTTATGCGAGGTTGTTTTTTTTCTTTTTCTTTTTAGTTTTGGGATGGGGGTGGGGGGGTTAGAGGTCACTGTCAGTGTTTCGTCTGCAGCGTCACCGGGCTGGCCGGGCCGGCCGGGAGTCTCGCTCTCGTGGACTTCAGATTCTTATTCCTGGTTCGGGCTGTCCGACCGCTCGGCGACGACGGAGGCTCTCTTTTTCCCGCCGCCGCCACCCATGTTCTCATTGTTTATATTTAAATCAGATAGATATCGTGCAAAAACTGTCCTTCCTACTGTATACAACACCATACGTCCAATTGAAATGCGATGATAAAAGTGATGAAGATTGCCGGTATGTAGTAGTAAAGCCATCTCTTTCCGACACGGGGAGGGCGCCGCTTTCCCACGGCCCACGCGGCCCGTGCAGTCCGCGACGCGTAGTGCGGAGTCGGAGGGGATAGGAGAGCGAAGCTCGGCGCGCGTGATAACAGCGGCGCAGCAGCCCCTCTATGCTGCACTTTGGTGACCGAAAGCAATAAAATCAAGTCAGAGTCTGTAGGATGACCTTCCCTCTACCAGGGCTGATCATGGATGAACCCGACCAGCTTCAAAACGCAAAAACGTCGCTATTTGTGCACGACGCTCCCGTGCACCGTGCGTTGGTGTTGCTATAGTTATTTGCAGCCACAGCGCCACTGCGCTGCCCCCGGCGCGGCGCTCACCGCGGCGCAGGGCGTGGCGCTTGTGTGCAAACTGCATGTGCGCGTCGTCTGCTGTTAGGGCTCCGTTAGGATGCGCACACGGGCGCTGCGTGTCACTGACGAAGTGACGAACGTGACAGCGACCGCACGCCTCTTGTCACGCATTGTCGTCACACCGTGCGGGCGCTGAGAGACTGACTGACTGACTCGCCCGTCTGAGGAAGAAGGGGGCGGGGGGCGGGGTCAATTCAAGCGAAAAGAAAAGAAATCTGCAAGTGCCGCGAGAAAAGGGAAGAAGATTCCCCGCAGCTGGCCAGCAGCAGAAGCGCCGCCCCTCCCCCTCCCCTTCCCCTTTGTCCTCCAAAGAATGCCACCGCGCGGAGCAGCAGCTGATGCTGGGGCCGCCGTGCTGCGACAGCAGAAGCTGTGTAGCAGCCCGGAGGAAATACTACCAAAGGGTTTTGCCGGGGCCCTGCCTGCCCTGCTCGGCCCTGCCTGCCCGGGGTTTGCAAATAAGCCTGAGAGATTCCAGCCGCGACTGCGTGCCCCGGCGCGGCGGGACGCGGCCT